CATTCTCCGCCCAGCCTGTACTTGTGCTTGGGATTGCCCCAACCCACGTGCAGGACCTTGCACTTGGCCTTGTTGAACTTGTTGAACTTCATGAGGTTCTCACAGGCCCAAGTTTTGCTGGATCAGTGCCCAAGGATTCTGTATCTTTTCTTTCAGAAGAAAAGTTGTAACTTTATTAACATACAAGCTCCTTTGTGAGACATATAATAAGATGCTCACTGGAGAAACAGACACATTTGTTTAATGTTATTGTCCCTCTCTTGTAGGCTACTGCCCTTCCAGCGTAACAAACTAAAATTTCTTCTCTGTATTTCAGCACAGGAAGATCAGCTTATCCCGACACAGCTGGCAGCTTCTGCACCGAACGCTGCATCGAAACCCAAGTCAGGCTGAATGCCCAGAAGTGCAGGTTTAAACTTTGGAAAAGGTTCTGAAGCACTGAGTGCTCAGTGGGGGAGTACGGCCGAAGGGATGTGTGCTTACCATGCTTGGACACACTCAAAATAAGGGAGAAAGTGTACGGTTGGGGTTAAAAGCAATGACTTCTAATTCCGACTCAGCCAATGGCTTTGGTAAGGTCCTGAATAATTTACTTGTTTCTTTTGATTCCTTTCCTAATCTGTAAGAAATGGGGATACAGGAGCAGAGAAAGTACTCTGAAGCTACTTTCTACTTATCTGAAACATGGAAAATATTCTCTACATGCTGATTATTCTGAAAAATAAATCACGAAGTCAGCTTTTATTTGTTCTGGAAGACTCAAACCAAGGCACCTAAGGAATATATATATTTTTATTTTTTTTTTAACTAGAAGGGTTTTATTGTTTGTTTATTGCTGTTTCAGAAGTGAGGCTTACCGGACTCATGTAAACTCCTTGGTGTACATCTCCAAACTGTCCTTCGCCAATGCAGCGCCCCAGTTCAATTCTCTCCCTTTGAATTTCATAATCTCTGGCTATAAGAATATAATGCACTTAAAATATTAAATTTCTGATGGAGGGCAAAGAAATAATCCACAAGATACGAAACTCGAAGTCAGTCACTCAAATGTCTCACATATGAATAACTAAGATTAACGTTTGCTGCACACCAACCTATACAAATGCTGCACACACACAGTGGAAACCTCTTAAACAAAGGTTTGAATCAAAGCAATGAAAAAGAAATTGTAAAAGCTAATTTGCTAAATTAACTACTATGCATTATTTATTTCAATGCAATAGACACAACTGAATCCTTCTTAATTATAGCTAGTAAAAGAAAAAGAACACAAATAGCCTCGGGCAATACCGATGATATTAAATACAGCTTTAGCACAAATCCCTTCGCATGTTTAAGAGAACTCCACTATGTGGCATTTTAGATCTTGGAACCATCAAATGAGCCCAGAGAATTTTTAAAGAGGTAACTGCAAGAAAGAAATACAGAAACAAGAACATGGCAAATAAAGATAAAATCAAAGAGCAAAATTTTGAGTGCACTACACCTCTACCAGTGTATAACTGAAGTAAAATTGATATGTTTTATGGACTTATGCAATTTTGTTAATTTTGTGGTTTAATAGATTGAGAATATCACTGATAAAAATGGCTCAGTACTTCGGCAAAACATTTAATCAATTGCAATTGAATTACTTCATTTGCAATTTAATTTCTAGCAGACATGGAAAAATATTTCAAGAATAGCAGAAAAGCACATACAGTATATGTTTTCACGTCTACTTGTATTATTCAGAGAAAAAAAAATATAATCAACCAGCTTAGGATTTTGTGACTTCATTAACACTAAGAAATAATGTCATCTAGAGCTGGATAACAAAGTGATAAATGCCTTTTTTCATTTCTTTTTTGAAGTACTGCATTTTCCTCTTTAAAATCCCAAAGCTAACTGGTTTAACTATAAATAAATAATGTTTATTAAATGAAAGTGAATAGTAAACTTAAAAATTCCACATCATTCCAAATTGCAAGCACACAGGGATGGGTAAAGGGTCTCCTGTTACCTTCATCTATTCCATAGCTTTCTGCAGTGCAATTAAGAGAAAAATCAAATGCTTACTTAGACACAGCTTCTTAAAATCAAGACAAGGACAAATATTTTTTAACATTTTTTTTAAAAATGAAGAAATATACTGATGCAATTTTAAGTTTACATTAGCAGAAGTCACAGGTCTGTTCTTGTGATCTTTACTGACTCAGCCCCTTGAGAGCTGAACACTCAAGTCCACTTCAATCCAGCAAAGCAGTTCACGAATTTCACTTCAATAGCCCATCTCATGGGCTTCAGATTGAAGGCACACTTGAGCGTTCAGCACCATCCAGGGCTGGGCCCACAAGGAATTACTTCCATGAGAATTACCAAAAAAAAAAAAAAAAAAAAATCACACAAAGTTAATATGTAAATTAAAAAATGAAGGCTATAATTTATCACAGTACTCTCTGATCCTGCAATTATTTTAGTAGAATCATGTAGTGACTTACTGCAAGACATTCAAAACAGACTGTTCATTTCTGGAAAACATATTCTTGCTTTTCAAATATTTATGTTCAAGTATATGTGTTTTTCAAAACACATATTCTTGCTTTTTCAATATTTTCCACAGGAGTGGAAACTATGCTGTAAACACTGAAGTGATCATGAAACATTCCTGCCACATGATAAACACTGGAAATCCATCCATACATTCATGGTTCTTCAGCAGAACATGGCACCAGTTCACCACCATCCTCCCCTCTTACACGAACTAAACCCGTTGTTTTTACAGATCTGCATATCTGACCATCTACTTCTAGAGAAGTTCTTGGTTGTGAGAACAAATCTGTGATTTTGCAGACACATATTTAAGATCAGAATACTAGACTTTCACATTAAATTAGTCAGCCTTGACCAGTTTAAGATTATATTGTAATTCAAATATCCCAATTATATTGTAATTTAAATATACCATAAGATGAAATCCTTATGGTGGCTAAAAGCATCTTTTTTTTTGACTTCAAAGATGAAGACTCAGAAGAACTTTTGCGTTTTTGTTTTTGTTCTTAAAGTCTTTCATCTTTAACAAAATTGCATGTGGCATACACGACTATCCTCTATCAAGGAATTCGAAAGCAGCAAGTGTGTCATAGAGCAAGGGTGAGATACAGTTAGACAGCAACACACAGAAGCTTTCCAAATTCTTTGCTCTTATCACAGAAATCCTATCCAATCTTCCTTTAAGCATTGTGTTCAGCACCACAATCCAAAAAATCTGCATTTTGAGACATGAAAAGAATTTCACTGTGAAGCCACTAACAGCAGCAAAACAGTTTGATTTTATTTGCTTCAAAATCTGAACTTGAAATCAACACTGAATCGATGAGTTTTCGAAACCTCATAAAGAATATTTCCATTCCACAAATATTACTTAAGGCTGAAATACAAGATTCAGTCCCTGCTAAATCAAAGAAGCTTCCAGACAGAAAAGTTCCCACGTTACCCACATACTTACTGGATGGCATTGTATAAGTATCTTCTTCATCTATAATCTCTGCATAGTCATCTGTCTCTGTAAAGGGAGGAATTGAAGAGTTTCGGGAAAAGCAGATGAAAACAATTCTCCAGAACAATATCTCCAATTTATCAAGGCTGATATGTCACAACCCCCAACTGCAACATTGCTGGGATGCATTTACAACAGCATGAATAAAACTTGCTCATGCATAATTTATGGTATGATAATGACCTCAGTGTCAATTATACTACGTCACATAGATGCATTCAACAAGGAATAAAAGGAAGATTCATTTGTATTCAAAGAAATTCAAGATCAGTAATTGAAACCCATCTAAACTCTTGACTTAAAACCAAAATCTTTTTAACAGCTAATTCCACTGCAGTAAGTAGAAAACATTACTAAGGGACTAAACTGCTTTACCATCAATAAAGTGTGAATAACACTTCACTGGTTTTTTATGTCGAACAGCCAGAACAGACAGTAAAGATGTGCCAGGGCAGCATCTACCTGCTATTAGTGTGGCAAGGTGAGTTATTTTCCATAGAGCATGAAGAGCTTTTAAGTTACACTCTCACCTTACACCCATTTTTTCTTGCATTAGTCTCAATTTTCCTTGCTTAGTGGAAGTTCACCACCAGTTTTCCTGTCAAGAATCAACATCTCATGGACAGTGTTTGAAAACAACCAGTTTTCAAAATATTCCGAAAAATGATACTGTTTTTCTTCCTCTGTTTAAAACCTACAACTTTTACATCATCTGTTCTCAAAATAGTTTAAATGGTGTCAAGTCACATCAGAAGGTTCTTTTCTTGCCCTAAAGAACTTGCAGTGTGTGTAGGTTGTTTCCTAACAGTCAGATAAATTCCTCTGGGGGTTACAAAACCAGTCCACAACTTCAAGACTGTTAAATTCTACTCACCAACTTGAAATGCATAGAGAGGTTCTGGAAATGAATCATTGCAAATCCAGTATGTGGGTTTTTTTGATGGTTGGTTTCAGGTGATCACATACTGGGCCACCTCTGAAAGGCATGATTCACTCCCCCTTTCTCCCCATCTGCCCTGGAGCGTATGTATACTCCTACAACTCTCCAGCATAATTTCTAGAAGTATGGGTGAATGGGACAAAGCCACAGTGAGACTGGAAAGAAGGATGGGACGATCCCTTTTGGCAGCAGCCCTCAGTGCAACCAACTTAAGCCAACTCTGAAACCAGAGCAAAGCTAATAAATTTTATACACATACATAAACAAGAGGCTTAATTTTCAGATAAACTGAATATTCAACAATCAGGAAACTACACGTAGCCTGTAACGTTTGAAGTTCAACACACTTCAGTGAGTAAATGTGGTTTTATGATCCTAATTTTGTATTACTTAAATAAAATTAAAGCTATTTTTCTTTCTAACCCCTGTAGGAATATATCATGTCTTGTAAAAATAGAACCAGGAAATTCTATGCCATTTAGATTTTTGCTAGGCAATTTCTGTTTAGCACACAGCAAAAGAGAGTCACCTAATGAAAATTCAACTAATTGTAAAGACAGTGCATGATTCTAAACAGGCAGCATACTCCAGAGGAACTACACTCTTTCTCGGTATGTTTTTTCTGCCCTACATCATGCTTCTGTAGAAAATAAGCCCCAGTTTGATCTCAAAAATAAGCATTCATTTGAAATAAATCGTTAGTGTGACACCAATGTGATGGGGATAAATCTCTCTGTTTCCTTGTAATATCGTGTAAGATGTTTTAAACTTTTGTTAAGTGTGATATATATCAACTATTGTCACAAGCTAGTATCTGAGGATACCAGAAAGTTCTTACTCTATATTAAAAAGCAAGACTGAATGAAAAATAAACATATTTTAGAAGAATTTAAATGTCTGGAAACTAGAACTGGTGCTACACTCGTCTCTAAAAAATCAAAACATTTGTCCCGCTAGATTATGGAACAGTGCTTACAAAATGGGATAAACAGTTTGGCTTGTGCATCTCTCTATTTTAAATCAATGAAGTTAATTCGTATTAAAAGCATTATCAGAACACTGCAGAGCACTTTATACGGTTTTGATACATTCCTTAAAAACGTCCTGACATTAAAAGGGTGTTCAGTAGCCAATTCAAATAAATTAAATGCATGCAATTAATGAAACAAATATTTTCTGTTACACAGTTAACACTCTGGAGAGGAATACATAATACAAATTCAGAAAATATTTCCTACACATGTCTGGCACTGTTTCTCGGAGTTAGAGGAAAATTCAATCAAGGCATTAGCAGTGATGTGCTCAAAGTTTCTGCCACAAAGACGACTGACCTCTCTCACGTACAGTCATCACCCCACGGTTAGAGTCACATAGTGACACTACCACCAAGTGTGCGAGGACTAGGACTGTGTCTGCTACGAGACACTCCAGAGCCCATGCTCTTGGAGGCTCTCCAGGCTGCTTTATGAAGAAGGACGTGCTACAGCAGTCTCGAGAGCCAAACACACAACAAGCAGCGATTCCAGGGGATGTTCTATCTTGGAGGCCCTTGGTAAGTCTAGTAAAACGAATGTTTCAAAATAGGGCTCGTTACTGCTGCTCTCTTGCGCGTTTTAAAACCAGCACTGACCCTCTTCTGCTGGTCAACCCTAGACTTTTCTAGGTGGAAATACAAATAGGTTGCTTTTGGACAAAGATACAGTGTTGGTGGTAGAGGTGAGTGAGCCAATTTGAGCTTTACTAAATCTGAATGCATTTATTAAACAGTAGGAAAAAAAAATCTCAGTACATTAAATCCGTAATAGCTCATCTATGATTTTAACCACTTCTTTGATACTTCTCTTTCCATGATTTTTTTCTCCATTTATCAGAGACTGTAATTTATAAAAGATGATAAGCACCAAGAAAAACCAATGTAGGGTTAGTATCTGAAATACAATTTCTGAATTTATGACAGAAAAAACACCCTTTGAGGCATTTGCAATGTCTGAGAAAAGAAAGAAAATTTAGGTAGAATTATCTTAACATGATTTGTATTTGAAGCAGAGAAAGGAGATGAGAATTTATACACCCCTTTATATTTTACTAAGAGAAAGGCTACAAGAAATATCTGTTTCTTCTTATTGCCTTCCTTTGCATAACGCTTTTTACATCCTTTTAGTACCTCCTACCTATGAGAAGACAGACACATACACTACCAGTAGTAGCAGTTTGATTTTTTCCCAATATCAGATAGAATCCTCTAGAAAAACAGCTAAAAATCTCTTAAAAAAACCCCAGCAAAACCCAACTTGTCTGCAGAGGATAGCAAGTCAATATTTTCTAGAAAAAAAAGACTTCAGAATTCCAGAAAAGTTAAATATTTTGTAATAAATTTCAGAATTTTGAAGAAAAACATTAAAATCTCTTTAAAATTAGAATTTTGAGTGTTTGAAACCTGATTGATATTCAATCCACATTGATCTATCTTGTACAGCTTCTCTTTATGCAAGGAGCAGTAGGGGACTACAGAGCACTTGGACGCTCTCACGCCTTTAAAGCGTCGTTTAGCAGACTCGTTTCTCACGTGTTACATCCGTCCATCTCATCCACTGGTCAAAAACACTCGGTGACACAACTATTTCAATCCAACTGAACGGACACTCTTGCAAACCTATAAACCTTCTCAGCATCATGCCAGAAGTCTCATTGTAAACACATGCAACGCCACATCCCTGCGCGTTTGAAATAGTTTTTCCTTTTTCAATTCCAGTTTAGCAGTAAGTGTTAGTTGCACAGCCTGAAAAGTACAATATTTATCAGCTAATGACCAAAGCAGACTGCTTTTTAATACTAAAATCTGTGTAAAATTCACTACTGAAATGTGCATTAAGTGGTATATGGATATAAGAGTTGCATATTGCACGTTAGTAATACACAGACTAGAAAACATATTACCGTCCCCACTAATTTCATCTGCAGATCCAGGTGGCATGCAAGGAAAGAGAAAAACAGAGGGGGAGAGAGGAGGGACAGAGAAGGGGGAGGGGAAAATATACTATTAAATTCATGAGTAATCCAAAAGTATTCAGACTGCAGTTATCTTATATACCTGACTCAAGAGAAACCAGAAAAGTAGCAGAATTTAAGACTTCTCACCTAAAACCTAGGGGACAAAGGTACGTTCTAAGAAGCTTGCATGATGAAACAGAGTTAATGACTTTCAAATACAAAATTACACAAAAAATAAATTTGGGAGTGGAACTAGTTACTTTAATGCATCGCTAAGAAATGTCAATTTCTGGTTCTACTCAATACTTCGCTACAAAATAGATGTACAGCCACATGAGCCAGTTTGATTTGACCTGGCACTCACAATTCTGGCTTTGGATGAGTTGGTGTAGATCCCTTCAAAGGAAATGCACTTCCGTGTTAACGCTACAACATAAGCAAGAAACTCAACCATCTAAGTATCAATTACACAGAGCATATTGCAATTACACAACGCTGAAATCTAAACGAGTGGCAAACGGAGCAACTCTACTGGGAAGACGTTCAAACCAGCACCATTCCACATGGACTGTAGCGGCCCTACTGCACACCAATACCCACAGCACAAGCTGATGCACTTTAGGCATTATTCATAAGTAAAAGGAAAATGTGCATTAATGTTGCAAAAGTATTATTATTATATCTATTACTCCCATTCTTCTTACCCCTAACAAAGCCAAACTGGTCCAGACCAAGTGCTGAACCAGTATGCAGCCAAAAGCATCACTGCTTGAGGTGATCAGAGCTGATGCTTATTGTTGCTATTTTATTTCATTCATAAGCATGCTGTATCAGGGGTCCAAGAATGAAGTCAAAACAAATGAATAAAAACCACATGGTGCATGAGGGCTGCAGAGCTATGCAAATGAAATTATTAATACGTTTGTCACTGTAGCATACGGTACTTAAAAACAAACCCCCCGTAAAAACAGGGACCAGTAAGTTTGTGACACTGCATGAAAATCCAATTGAGTAGGAGGGAAGGAGCAGCAAAAATTTAATGAAATTATTCTTGGAACTCTGTTTACCTCAGGCTAAAGTAGTAAAAAACCAGTAACTGAGTGAGTATATTCAGCTTTTGGGTTAACAAGGCAGCCTGTGCAAAGAGCAGTGCAGTACCCTTAGGCGGCGACTCATGGGAACAGAAGACGAAGGGGAGAAAGCGTCTAGCTTTCTTTACTTTATGCTGACAGTGACTGACTCCTTTACAAAGAGGCAAGAAAGGAAAGAGAAAAACAGAAACAAATTATTTGGAAACAAAAGAAAAGAGACCGGAAAGAACATCTTCAACGAATGAACATAAAAGTCAAGGTTTACATTACGATTCGGTGTACGCAACATGGATAGACGGATGTTGCTGAAACTCGAAAGCACATTTGGTGTTTTCCTTCAAATTCCTTTCGACAGTAAAGTTATTATTACTTCACTTTTTAAAAGTGAGACTAGAATCCATTAAAAAGTCAGCTTTTGCCAACTACATATACCACTCACTGCTAGCACAAAGAACACCATCCATCCCAGAGTGTAAGCTCCCCATCTGTGTTCCACTAGATTGTGCTACAGCTAAATCCTGTCGTAAGTGGCAGTCACCAGACTTAAACCTGACAGTATTGACTTTATAGACCTTCAAAAGAAGAATATAACACAAAACAAGTATTTCACACAGCAGAGTCACACAGAGCAAGCAAAAGCACAGTTTCTCTGTTCCACTGAAACACAACACTGACATACCATATGATCAGAGATCTGCCACCGGAGTTCCATCCCAGGGCTGACCTGTCTTGCCAACTGATACTTTAACTCTCCAATGATCACTGGGCAAATGCCCCCTGGTGCTGTCCTCACTGTCCCCATTCCTAGTCACCCTACTGCATTTCATTAGCAAAGCACTTAGGAGGAGAGAGATTTTTGAGTGGGAGAAAATACAAAGAAGCCAGAACCAATTTCACAAGGTGAGAATGGAGGACATAAGACGACACTAAGAACGTGAGGATAGCTGCTCCTTTTATTTCTTGTTATCTGTTTGGTCCTCTCTGCTTCTTTCCCCTCTCTCCTCTATCTCAGAAAACACAAGAGATGGTTCAAAAAGCCAATCAACTAAAAACCTGCATCTTGTTGCTGGTACTCCTTCACAGTCAAAACTCAAGAGCAAGGTCCAACCACCCTGAGTTATACAGGCTGGAGGCACCGTTGTTAAAAAAGCAGCCCACGTACCACAGAGGCAGCTGCTGGCACAGAATACCAGTCAGTGGTGGGAGGAGCAGAGGAAGGGTGGAAAAGGAAAATCACGTTTTAATAAAAACAACTTCACGCTTTTAACAGATTCTGGTAATGTATGACCCATCAAAGCAGCTGTACTTACACCAAAGCACCATCTTACACACAGTTGTGCAGTTTTTAGTGGCCAGATTTTGAGGGATAATGTGCAGAACTTTTTTTAGGGTGCATGAAGTGTGTTCCATCACTTCAATCTGGAAGCTGCATGTTGAATTTGACACATGCAAATCTAATGGGTAACACAGTACCATGTACAGCCCATGCTTTGCTGAGATGGCAATTTTAATTCAAAGTTAAAACAAGTGGGTGAGATTTATCATTGTACCCTAAACAATAAAAACTGCTGGGGTGATTAAATAAACAGAAATCATTCCATTGTGAAAATTTCCATGTCATTGAAAATGACAGAACATGAGTCAGACTCAACACTAAAAAACTAAAAGAGGTGCAAGAAGAAGGCAAAATTATTGAGTAAGTCAGTGTATCAGCATTTCGTGTACACCACGTTACTGCACTCCTAGGGACTTCCCTTCCTACCATCACACTGCACAATTTTCAGCACTATCATTTTAGCACAAATCCAAGACAACATTCATAAAACGCTTCAGACATAGTATGAAAGAAAAGAAAAAAAATACTACAGCTATTTTAAGAGAGTGCTGAAAAGGCACTGAAATGAGAATAAAGGAATCCAATACTCCGAACTGAAACAGAAGAACAGGTATAGAGTCACTGGAAGCAACGTAAGCTATCTGAGAGCGAAAAGATGTTTCAACTCCTGACCTGTCTGCTCAGGCTACAAAGCTAATTTCAGCCTGAAATGCTCCTCACTCTTGTGTTGATGCACGGGTAGCAGAAGCGGACTGAAACCTGACTAACCTGCTTCACATGAAGGGCACATCGAAACGACAAAGGTGGGTTTAATTTATCGGGTACACGTCCTGATGCCCTGTGGTACTCAGTCCAACTCGTCTTCTGCATTTCAAACTTTGCCTTTATGATTCTGTCCAAAGTTTGTTCAGCTATTCTGCCACACTAAATGGAAGACTGCTTTGTCTTAAACTTAAAGCATCTTCAAGTCTAGCTACAAAAGAAAGTTTATTTAGGTGAAAAGGTGACTCTAAGTTGAAAAAAAAAAAAGTTACAACAATTTTTCAGGATCTTATAGAGTACCTGCTTGAAATGAATACTACTTAGAAGGATTTCCACCATTCCACACCAGCTTCCAGCCAGGATATCACCAGTGTCTACCTAAACATCAGAAATGGGGCTGAAAACAGACCTTGCTGAACATTTTTATTTAGTTCCTCTTCCCAATGCTAAGTATTCACTAAAATTATTGCGTATGAAAAGAACGCATCCCTTGCTCTGCAATGGACTATGTTACGAAAGGAGTAACCAGGCTAGAGGGCAGTTACTGTTGGAGCTCCTCGTTAGACAACCAACACTGGAACTTACAATGATCCATTCTATTTAAGTCATAAATTCCTGAACCAGTTTGAGGAAAAAAAAAAGAAAAAAAAAATCTGTAGATGATTTCAATCTTTTGAAATAAAATGAGTACTATGCAGTTGTCACATCAAGTATGTTTATACACAAACAACAAAATCCCAAACCCAATACTGCATGGAACATTTCTTTAGTCATACTACAGTGTTATTACTAGCAAAGCAAAAGTGTTTGCTCAAATCAAATGAATGGAACAAAAAGGAGGAGCCGTAGGAGGGCAAGACCTCGTCAGCCAACAACAAAGTGATGAAATCAATGCAGCAACTTCCCAGGTGCTGATATGGAAGAAATCTGTTTAGACTACCACCACAGTTCATCCTGGTCGTCTTATGCATGAAAAGACACATTTTAGTCAGTCTAAAATACAAAAAGATAACACCACCAGTCTATTCAGCTCTGATGGGAATATAAAATACTGTAACTTATTAGCATTAAGGGTACACTCAACTGTATGATTTTATTAATCAGCAGAATAGCTGGGTAAGAAGTAGGTAACTGTGAACCTGGAGCCTAATGACTTGCTCAAGGTTTGTAAAATTTATCTGCAGTAAGCCTTAGGCTTAAATGTCTCCCAGTCCTGACCATGTGGCAGAGCTACAGCTGTACAGAGCCTTTATAGTCATAGAATCACAGAATGGTTTGGGTTGGAAGGGACCTCAAAGATCATCTAGTTCCAACCCCCCTGCCATGGGGAGGGAAACCCTCCACTACACCAGGGTGCCCAAAGCCTCAGCCAACCTGGCCTTAAACTCTTTCAGGGATGGGGCATCTACAACTTCTCTGGGCAACCTGTTCCAGTGCCTCTAATTACTTAATAATTTGAAAGTAGAACTATGCAATTTATGCTGAGACTGTTAAGTCTTTCTTTTCAGAAGTAGTAAGCTGGAGAGTACAACATATCTGAGCTGGCAGACACAGTCATAAGCACTCAAGCTACAATTTTTCATTTTAAAAACTTACTTATGCTTTTCAGCGTCGCCTTTTGGAGTGACTTGATAAAACAACCACAAAAAAACCCACAACTTTACAACTTCGAGCAAAGAATACCTTCCCCCCTACCAATTCAAATGGAACTAGGAAATAGAGGTCCTGCACAAGAAACTCTTTCCGAGCTCAGCACCGGCCAGACCTTCATGTTG